CCAAATAGATTATTTGGGCCTAAAACTTAAGAAAAACAACAATAATGAAATAAAAAATACACAATTCGTCCCATAAAGCATAAAAATACACATTTCATCTTATAAACATAAAAATACAAAAATGATGAAGATTAAATTATGCAAAGAGAAGGTGGAAAAATCTGAAAATGAAAAAACGAAGGTGGGAAAAAGTGAGTTATAGTGTCTTACAAAATTAAGTCAACAAAAGGCCAAAAAGTGAAAGTGAATGTAATGACTGAATGTATATATATATTTTTTATAATTTTTTAATATTTACCGGTCCGGTCGGGTTAAACCGGCGGTTTGCCGCAGGTAATCCATTAACCGGACCGGTTATTCCGGATTTTTAAAAAAATTAATCACCGGATTTTTTAAGACTTTTTTAACTGACCATTTAACCAATTTGCGGTCCGGATTGATGGTTTTTTTCGGTTAAAACCGGACCGTGAACACCCCTAACGAGAACACATACAATCAATATTTTTTCATATCTCAAGTGTATATGACTATATATATATTTAACATATACTGTATACATATACTGATCGTAAACCAAGATGTATAATAGAACTACATCTTCTAACTATATACAAACTACACGATCAAGACTAGCAGCCCATGTTGATGAACTAATACTAAAAAATATATGAAATGAACCAAGTAATTCTTTTTNAAAAGTAAAATTATAAACAAATATTAATATAAACAAAATTGAAACATCAAAATTGCGTAAATAAAACAGCAATATATACGAAAAATATGCAAGCCAGAAGGGACCGCCGCACGATTGTAGTCGTCCGCTTCAGTCGCCGAATTCGTCAGTTGCCGCGCCACTCCACCCAGCCGAGAGGCGAGTGGAACCTCTTAGCCCTCCGCCGTCGACTGTCATCACCAGGCTTCGGGAGAAAAAGAAGAAAATACCGTGAAAATACTATGGAATTTGGAGAAGAGAGAGAGAGAGAGAGGAGGGAGGATGAGGAGAGATAAAAAGATTCCGTTAAACTCGGGAGTCGTTTTTGGAAGCTGATAAATTTTACATAAATTAAACTAATTATTTATATAATATATATCTAGTAAAGCTGCAAATAAAGACCAGATTTCTGGCTATATTATAAATATTTACAAAAGGGTTTTATTTATGTAATAAAATATTAATTGTCTGAATTATGGGGTAATTTTCTCTATAAATATTGATCCTCAAGCCCAAAAAAGGCAAGCAGGCCATCCCAGGCTAACCTAAGCTACACAAGCGAAAATTTGTCAAATCCTTCAAAGATCATCACAATCATCATTATTTGCCCCAATACTACTACATATCTGATATCTCGAAGATCACACACAAAAATATTTGGCTGTAATCATCATACAATTTTTTTACTAAAAATTCAATATTCGGTTGTAATAATCATATACATCTGATCGGCAAAATTGGTATCTTGCTTTACTTTTACTCACATTTACTTTGTTGCGATCTCTTCATATCATATATTGTTAAAATAAACCATAATTCTATCGTAACCCCCGGTCCGATTAAACCTCCTTAAACATGTTTTTCATAACCGTTGACGACCCACCGTCAACATAATGGCGCTAGAGGAAGGGCGGCCATCGTGGGTTACATTTGGCATGGACCTTACTCTTATAAGAAGCCAAGCCCTGATAAGGTTTTGTTACACACTTCTCATCTCTTCTTCTTCCTAAACCCTTATCAGATGAAGGGCAGCATAACCGACCTTTCCTTTCTGTCGTCAGTCAGATAAATGGGCAGCTCAGCAAACCCCTCTGCCTCTGATTGTCTTGCTACATTGTAGATATTTCTCTTAAAACATTTAAATACTTGCTTTTTGTCTCATCTCCTCACAAAAAGCTTCAATCTGTACTTTTGGGCAAACCCTCATATTAGCCTACATTTGACAAAAATATGGATTCACTATTCCACTCTCGACAAGAACGTGAGGGTGGACAGTTTGTTGGTCCTCGAGTAATCACGGCTCTCTCGAGGTCGGGAGCCTGAGGGGGTACTGGCCACAAAAGTCCTCATGAAATCTGACCATATCCTCTTCTTAGGCTCAGAAAACTCCCAACCCAACTATCAACCTCATATTGGTTGAGCGATCACTAACATCTCTTGATCATGATCGCTCGACTAATCAACTATCACACTGAGTTGGTGTTACACGACCGGGGGCCTTGCCAAACAATGGCATGGTGAGTAGGGGTGCACAAAGTTCGGTTAACCGAGCCGAACCGACTGAAATCGAAAATTCGGTTTGGACCGAAACCAAAACCAAATATTGGTTCGGTTTTCGGTTTACATTTTCTTAAAATTTCGATTTTCGGTTCGGTTTAGGTAATTGTGATCAGTTGACCAAACCGAAATGAAAACCGATTTATACACATATGTATACATGTTTTTTATTTATACATATAAGTTATAAAAGCATTAATTTGCTTCAATGATTGATGATTTTCAAGTTTCAATGACCCCTAAAATGGCTCAAGCATTAATTTGTACACACGATTGGCTTCATCATAGTCCAAGTCATGGTTGTGGAGAATTTAAAATTTATTGAGAAGATTGAGCAAGGTGATAAAAAATCAAATTTCTTTGTTTGGTTTGGATAAAACATCAATATTTTTGTTTGGTTAAAAATCAGGAATTTATTGAGAAGGTTAATTATTTATTGCGATTAGCCGAAAACCGAACTAAACCGACCGTTGGATTTTCGGTTAAAAACCGAACCAAACCATAAATTTCAGTTTGATTTTTGGTTATGATATTGGACAAATCGAATTTTTGGTTAACCTAAAATTCGGTCGGTTCGGTTCAGTTTCTACCGAATGAGTAGCCCTAGTGTTGAGTATGTTGAGTTTAGAGGTCATTCGGTGGTCATTTAGGTCTCTCGGTGCTCATTTAGAGGTTATTCGGTGGTTACTCATGATATTTGGTGTTCAGTAGATTCATTTGATGGTTATTCAGATTATTCGGAAGTCATGTAGATCGTGCGATATTCATTTGGTGACTATCTGGTCGTCGAGGATTTATTCAAATTAAAGCAGATTGACGAAAATAGCTAGAAGACGCATTTCACTCTTGGATCGAGTTATTCACTTATTCTTACTCGATCAGAGTAGGGGGGACCAAATGATATGGAATATCATACTAGACTTGTTTTAATGAATAAGAACGAATATTATACTAAGGAATAAACTTGCACATGGGTTATGACACATGTCATAATGGTATTGCTCAAGCCAAACTTGGACGATAAGGTATATCTCTCTTATAAAAAGGGTTTAAGGTATCACAAAAACAAACATACTCTACCTTCATTACTATACTTTTATTTTACACTCTATCTCTGGCAAGTGCTGACTTAGGCATCGGAGACTCGACGTCGAGACTCATCCCGACGTTGAGTTCTTGTAGGTACGGAAGCTGTTTGAGGTTGAAGGAGCCCGAGTGAAGTCTATTTCACTGTTAGTATCGAATTAGAAATTGGAATTATTTTAAATAAAATAATTTATGGAAAAAAGTTAATGAAAGTAATGTAAATGTGTTTTTTTAGCGTAATACGCATATATTTTTGTTGGACGAATTGATGGGCCTGCTCTGCTCCAATAATTTGCGAGCTACTTTAATCTACTCCGCTTATCAAACATAACCCATTAAATGTTTATGCACTAATTAGTAGCGAAAGGACGTCATTCACATGTCATGCTTAGCAACAACAATGATATGAATATGATGCGCTTGTGTCGTAGGCATTACCTAATTAAACTATACAATCTCTACATTATCTCCGTCTTAATCTATCACAAATTCAGGATACAACCATTATACACCTATAATTGATCATCCAAATCCATAATCAGAGTCAAACTGCATTAAATACAATTATTGATTACATAAATTACTGATTATGCATTTCAAAATTACGAACGTGACATTTTAATATGCCCAATAAATGCATCATGACAAAAGAAAATATCATCACGATCTAATCACACCCTACTTTTTAATTTCGAACTGCGCATCTTCACTGTTTATAAAATGCACCCGTGACTATTGAACCAAAATAAAAAATTAAACAAATGCATAGTTTTGTGAAGAAAGGGACTTGCGGTGAAAATTCAATTCAAATAATATTTGCATGTGGGATTATTGTTATTGGAACACGAAATACATAAAATAAATTGCAAGAAAAATATATTACAGCAATTATTGTTTTATGTTCGAATCAGATTAACAAATGTGTTATTTTTATTTTGGATTATACAAGTTATTATACAACTTAGGGTATTGGCATTGGTTGTGGCAAATCATTACTTTTTCTTTTCTTTTTCTTCCCATCAGTTTTATATTGCATGCAATGACTTTCTCTATCTGATCTTTACAATGGTCAACGTTTAAAGAGTTGATAACATTCCGACTCTCTCTATCTAATAAATGAATTGCTCAACTTGTTAATAACTAAGTTAAATGCTCGGCTCAAATTTAACTCGTATATAGACTCATAAAAGATCGACTCGACTCGTTTAATATTTAAATTTTAATTAAGATATTCACTTATATTAGTATCCATTCTTGAACAAATTTGTCTCGCCAATTTCATTTAAAATCTATGAATAAATAAACAAGTTATTTGCAAACAAGCTCGGGTCATTTACTAAATGAATTAGTTATTGTTTGATGTTACTTGTTTAAACGCTCAAACTTTCACAAACCGAATCCATCTATGTTCATGAATAACAACTCTGACAAACTTTCATAATTTGTTAAAGATAGAATCTCGTTAGGTTCTATTTTTAAATTACATAAACATCTAAATTAGTTAACATTAAAACTTAAATATAAGTTGATATTGTTTAATAAAATAATATATACCTATCAAAATGTAGGTATAGGTTTTCTCTCTATATGGGTAACAAGTATGTTGGTTGTTTGTAGTACTTAATATAAAAACGTTACACAGTCAATAATATCTCCCATTTCTTTTAAATAATGAAATAAAGCCTACCACATTGATTAGAATAAGCGTGTTCTGGTAATGTTTTCTTCTACTTTATGATTCACAAGTGACTCCAAATTGAGAGAAACTTCACCCTTTTTCTCTATCCAAAAATGCATGCATAAAACACAGATAACTATATATATTGTGTATGCAGATAGTGCACTCTCTCTCTCTAAACCCCTTTAATTCTTCTGCAAATTGCTACTCTTTGTTAAGAGGTACTGAGATTATGCGAGCAAGGCCAAAAAGGTGAGTACAGTTACGTCGAAGAATTAGGGATTGTAGGTTCCTGTAATTTGCCGCTGGATTATGTTTCCCCTGCTTTAGTTCACCGCGTACGAACAATTTAGCCCCTGTAATTGTTGCCCGCTGGCAAACAATATCGTTAACTTGCAGTAGCTAAATCTGTGTGTTTATGTTCGAGAATTTTGTAGAGCTAAATTTATGCTTTTCAAGCTGTTCATTTTTCCTTTTGAGTAGCGTTTTCCCCCTTTCTACTGCAAGTTTGTGGCCCTGGGACGTTGTTGGGCGTTGTGTGGAGGTCTGAAGTCCATATTCAGGTCGATATATGAGTAAAGTTTATTTGTTATTTTTTTTTCCCCTGAAATCTTAATATGGGGATTGGTTAGTAATGGTTTTAGTTATACGTCTAGCCTGCTTCAGGTTGATTGTGCTAGTTTCATAAGCTGCGTAGCTTTCGATTTATCAGGTGAATTCGGCCTCGGTTCTTTGCAAAACATCATTTTCTTTGACTTTTTGTTTCGTTATTTGATTATAATGTTCATCGCGGTGCTTCATTTGTCAATACATTTCTGTTTATTTCAATCTTAATTTTCAGATTTGTGAACACCAGTGATTGGTGTTGACTAATTCTCAGCTTGTTGACATTTATGAACTCTTGATGGACTTCCTTGGCATATGTTTTATTATTAAGGCAAGCACACCTACAAAATCAGCACATACTCTGCTATAAAAACAATGGATTTCTTTTAGTTATTTTTATTGAGGTTTTCAAAGGTTGGGATTCATCCTTAGATCTTTGTTCAAAATATATGGTGTTGATTTGTTGGTATGCAGTTCCGGTGTTGATTTTTTCCTTAAATCAGTCACAATTCATTTGCATCCATGGAAGGTGATGCTAATACACTGTAGGTGTAAATATATTCTAGTGAAGGTTGTTCCTTGGTTTGTGAGCTTTGTGTTTTCAGTAAAGCAGAAAATTTCATATTCGTGTGAGCCAAATATTTTGATTAAGTAGTGTATTGCTCATGTGATTTGTTAAA